CGAACCAGCGACCTATGGATATCAGCCACTAGACACCTACAGTCCACCGCTCTGCCAACTGAGCTATCGACGGTCAGTGTGCTTTTCTAAGTAGACTTAAGCAGTTGGAATATTTAAGTAATTTTTTATCCAGAGTAACATCATTTAATCATGAAGAGGGAAAAGAAAAATGGAACAAAAACTTTCTCTAAAAAAAATCTTTCCGTCGAGCCGGAGTCGAACCAGCGACCTATGGATATCAGCCACTAGACACCTACAGTCCACCGCTCTGCCAACTGAGCTATCGACGGTCAGTGTGCTTGTCCTAAGTAGACTTCAAGCAGTTGGAATATTTAAGTAATTTTTTTATCCAGAGTAACATCATTTAATCATGAAGAGGGAAAAGAAAAATGGAACAAAAACTTTCTCTAAAAAAATCTTTCCGTCGAGCCGGAGTCGAACCAGCGACCTATGGATATCAGCCACTAGACACCTACAGTCCACCGCTCTGCCAACTGAGCTATCGACGGTCAGTGTGCTTGTCCTAAGTAGACTTCAAGCAGTTGGAATATTTAAGTAATTTTTTTATCCAGAGTAACATCATTTAATCATGAAGAGGGAAAAGAAAAATGGAACAAAAACTTTCTCTAAAAAAAATCTTTCCGTCGAGCCGGAGTCGAACCAGCGACCTATGGATATCAGCCACTAGACACCTACAGTCCACCGCTCTGCCAACTGAGCTATCGACGGTCAGTGTGCTTGTCCTAAGTAGACTTCAAGCAGTTGGAATATTTAAGTAATTTTTTTATCCAGAGTAACATCATTTAATCATGAAGAGGGAAAAGAAAATGGAACAAAAACTTTCTCTAAAAAAAATCTTTCCGTCGAGCCGAGTCGAACCAGCGACCTATGGATATCAGCCACTAGACACCTACAGTCCACCGCTCTGCCAACTGAGCTATCGACGGTCAGTGTGCTTGTCCTAAGTAGACTTCAAGCAGTTGGAATATTTAAGTAATTTTTTTATCCAGAGTAACATCATTTAATCATGAAGAGGGAAAAGAAAATGGAACAAAAACTTTCTCTAAAAAAAATCTTTCCGTCGAGCCGGAGTCGAACCAGCGACCTATGGATATCAGCCACTAGACACCTACAGTCCACCGCTCTGCCAACTGAGCTATCGACGGTCAGTGTGCTTGTCTAAGTAGACTTCAAGCAGTTGGAATATTTAAGTAATTTTTTTATCCAGAGTAACATCATTTAATCATGAAGAGGGAAAAGAAAATGGAACAAAAACTTTCTCTAAAAAAAATCTTTCCGTCGAGCCGGAGTCGAACCAGCGACCTATGGATATCAGCCACTAGACACCTACAGTCCACCGCTCTGCCAACTGAGCTATCGACGGTCAGTGTGCTTGTCTAAGTAGACTTCAAGCAGTTGAATATTTAAGTAATTTTTTTATCCAGAATAACATCATTTAATCATGAAGAGGGAAAAGAAAAATGGAACAAAAACTTTCTCTAAAAAAAATCTTTCCGTCGAGCCGGAGTCGAACCAGCGACCTATGGATATCAGCCACTAGACACCTACAGTCCACCGCTCTGCCAACTGAGCTATCGACGGTCAGTGTGCTTGTCCTAAGTAGACTTCAAGCAGTTGGAATATTTAAGTAATTTTTTATCCAGAGTAACATCATTTAATCATGAAGAGGGAAAAGAAAAATGGAACAAAAACTTTCTCTAAAAAAATCTTTCCGTCGAGCCGGAGTCGAACCAGCGACCTATGGATATCAGCCACTAGACACCTACAGTCCACCGCTCTGCCAACTGAGCTATCGACGGTCAGTGTGCTTGTCTAAGTAGACTTCAAGCAGTTGGAATATTTAAGTAATTTTTTTATCCAGAGTAACATCATTTAATCATGAAGAGGGAAAAGAAAAATGGAACAAAAACTTTCTCTAAAAAAAATCTTTCCGTCGAGCCGGAGTCGAACCAGCGACCTATGGATATCAGCCACTAGACACCTACAGTCCACCGCTCTGCCAACTGAGCTATCGACGGTCAGTGTGCTTGTCTAAGTAGACTTCAAGCAGTTGAATATTTAAGTAATTTTTTTATCCAGAGTAACATCATTTAATCATGAAGAGGGAAAAGAAAAATGGAACAAAAACTTTCTCTAAAAAAAATCTTTCCGTCGAGCCGAGTCGAACCAGCGACCTATGGATATCAGCCACTAGACACCTACAGTCCACCGCTCTGCCAACTGAGCTATCGACGGTCAGTGTGCTTGTCTAAGTAGACTTCAAGCAGTTGGAATATTTAAGTAATTTTTTTATCCAGAGTAACATCATTTAATCATGAAGAGGGAAAAGAAAAATGGAACAAAAACTTTCTCTAAAAAAATCTTTCGTCGAGCCGGAGTCGAACCAGCGACCTATGGATATCAGCCACTAGACACCTACAGTCCACCGCTCTGCCAACTGAGCTATCGACGGTCAGTGTGCTTGTCTAAGTAGACTTCAAGCAGTTGGAATATTTAAGTAATTTTTTTATCCAGAGTAACATCATTTAATCATGAAAGGGAAAAGAAAAATGGAACAAAAACTTTCTCTAAAAAAAATCTTTCCGTCGAGCCGGAGTCGAACCAGCGACCTATGGATATCAGCCACTAGACACCTACAGTCCACCGCTCTGCCAACTGAGCTATCGACGGTCAGTGTGCTTGTCCTAAGTAGACTTCAAGCAGTTGGAATATTTAAGTAATTTTTTTATCCAGAGTAACATCATTTAATCATGAAGAGGGAAAAGAAAAATGGAACAAAAACTTTCTCTAAAAAAAATCTTTCCGTCGAGCCGGAGTCGAACCAGCGACCTATGGATATCAGCCACTAGACACCTACAGTCCACCGCTCTGCCAACTGAGCTATCGACGGTCAGTGTGCTTGTCCTAAGTAGACTTCAAGCAGTTGGAATATTTAAGTAATTTTTTTATCCAGAGTAACATCATTTAATCATGAAGAGGGAAAGAAAAATGGAACAAAAACTTTCTCTAAAAAAAATCTTTCCGTCGAGCCGGAGTCGAACCAGCGACCTATGGATATCAGCCACTAGACACCTACAGTCCACCGCTCTGCCAACTGAGCTATCGACGGTCAGTGTGCTTGTCCTAAGTAGACTTCAAGCAGTTGGAATATTTAAGTAATTTTTTTATCCAGAGTAACATCATTTAATCATGAAGAGGGAAAAGAAAATGGAACAAAAACTTTCTCTAAAAAAAATCTTTCCGTCGAGCCGGAGTCGAACCAGCGACCTATGGATATCAGCCACTAGACACCTACAGTCCACCGCTCTGCCAACTGAGCTATCGACGGTCAGTGTGCTTGCCCTAAGTAGACTTCAAGCAGTTGAATATTTAAGTAATTTTTTTATCCAGAATAACATCATTTAATCATGAAGAGGGAAAAGAAAAATGGAACAAAAACTTTCTCTAAAAAAAATCTTTCCGTCGAGCCGGAGTCGAACCAGCGACCTATGGATATCAGCCACTAGACACCTACAGTCCACCGCTCTGCCAACTGAGCTATCGACGGTCAGTGTGCTTGTCTAAGTAGACTTCAAGCAGTTGGAATATTTAAGTAATTTTTTTATCCAGAGTAACATCATTTAATCATGAAGAGGGAAAAGAATAATGGAACAAAAACTTTCTCTAAAAAAAATCTTTCCGTCGAGCCAGCGACCTATGGATATCAGCCACTAGACACCTACAGTCCACCGCTCTGCCAACTGAGCTATCGACGGTCAGTGTGCTTGTCTAAGTAAGACTTCAAGCAGTTGGAATATTTAAGTAATTTTTTTATCCAGAGTAACATCATTTAATCATGAAGAGGGAAAAGAAAAATGAAACAAAAACTTTCTCTAAAAAAATCTTTCCGTCGAGCCGGAGTCGAACCAGCGACCTATGGATATCAGCCACTAGACACCTACAGTCCACCGCTCTGCCAACTGAGCTATCGACGGTCAGTGTGCTTGTCCTAAGTAGACTTCAAGCAGTTGGAATATTTAAGTAATTTTTTTATCCAGAGTAACATCATTTAATCATGAAGAGGGAAAAGAAAAATGGAACAAAACTTTCTCTAAAAAAAATCTTTCCGTCGAGCCGGAGTCGAACCAGCGACCTATGGATATCAGCCACTAGACACCTACAGTCCACCGCTCTGCCAACTGAGCTATCGACGGTCAGTGTGCTTGTCCTAAGTAGACTTCAAGCAGTTGGAATATTTAAGTAATTTTTTTATCCAGAGTAACATCATTTAATCATGAAGAGGGAAAAGAAAATGGAACAAAAACTTTCTCTAAAAAAAATCTTTCCGTCGAGCCGGAGTCGAACCAGCGACCTATGGATATCAGCCACTAGACACCTACAGTCCACCGCTCTGCCAACTGAGCTATCGACGGTCAGTGTGCTATTCCTAAGTAGACTTCAAGCAGTTGGAATATTTAAGTAATTTTTTTATCCAGAGTAACATCATTTAATCATGAAGAGGGAAAAGAAAATGGAACAAAAACTTTCTCTAAAAAAAATCTTTCCGTCGAGCCGGAGTCGAACCAGCGACCTATGGATATCAGCCACTAGACACCTACAGTCCACCGCTCTGCCAACTGAGCTATCGACGGTCAGTGTGCTTGTTCCTAAGTAGACTTCAAGCAGTTGGAATATTTAAGTAATTTTTTTATCCAGAGTAACATCATTTAATCATGAAGAGGGAAAAGAAAAATGGAACAAAAACTTTCTCTAAAAAAAATTTCCGTCGAGCCGGAGTCGAACCAGCGACCTATGGATATCAGCCACTAGACACTACAGTCCACCGCTCTGCCAACTGAGCTATCGACGGTCAGTGTGCTTGTCTAAGTAGACTTCAAGCAGTTGGAATATTTAAGTAATTTTTTTATCCAGAATAACATCAATTTAATCATGAAGAGGGAAAGAAAAATGGAACAAAAACTTTCTCTAAAAAAAATCTTTCCGTCGAGCCGGCAGTCGAACCAGCGACCTTATGGATATCAGCCACTAGACACCCTACAGTCCACCGCTCTGCCAACTGAGCTATCGAACGGTCAGTGTGCTTGCCTAAGTAGACTTCAAGCAGTTGGAATATTTAAGTAATTTTTTTATCCAGAGAATACATTCATTTAATCATGAGAGGGAAAAGAATAATGGAACAAAAACTTTCTCTAAAAAAAAATCTTTCCGTCGAGCCTGCGACCTATGGATATCAGCCACTAGACACCTACAGTCCACCGCTCTGCCAACTGAGCTATCGACGGTCAGTGTGCTTTCTAAGTAGACTTCAAGCAGTTGGAATATTTAAGTAATTTTTTTCCAGAGTAACATCATTTAATCATGAAGAGGGAAAAGAAAATGGAAAAAAACTTTCTCTAAAAAAAATCTTTCCGTCGAGCCGGAGTCGAACCAGCGACCTATGGATATCAGCCACTAGACACCTACAGTCCACCGCTCTGCCAACTGAGCTATCGACGGTCAGTGTGCTTTCTAAGTAGACTTCAAGCAGTTGGAATATTTAAGTAATTTTTTTATCCAGAGTAACATCATTTAATCATGAAGAGGGAAAAGAAAAATGGAACAAAAACTTTCTCTAAAAAAAATATTTCCGTCGAGCCGGAGTCGAACCAGCGACCTATGGATATCAGCCACTAGACACCTACAGTCCACCGCTCTGCCAACTGAGCTATCGACGGTCAGTGTGCTTGTCCTAAGTAGACTTCAAGCAGTTGGAATATTTAAGTAATTTTTTTATCCAGAGTAACATCATTTAATCATGAAGAGGAAAAGAAAAATGGAACAAAAACTTTCTCTAAAAAAAATATTTCCGTCGAGCCGGAGTCGAACCAGCGACCTATGGATATCAGCCACTAGACACCTACAGTCCACCGCTCTGCCAACTGAGCTATCGACGGTCAGTGTGCTTGTCTAAGTAGACTTCAAGCAGTTGGAATATTTAAGTAATTTTTTTTCCAGAGTAACATCATTTAATCATGAAGAGGGAAAAGAAAATGAAACAAAAACTTTCTCTAAAAAAAATCTTTCCGTCGAGCCAGCGACCTATGGATATCAGCCACTAGACACCTACAGTCCACCGCTCTGCCAACTG